TTTCCCTATTAGTACATACAGTTTTGGGGGGGTTTTTGTTGGTTTTTTATTTTATTTATTTTTGGCTGTGTTGGGTCCTGGTTGCTGCATGCGGGCTTTCTCTAGTTGCGGCGAGCGGGGGCTACTCTTTGTTGCCGTGCGCAGGCTTCTCATTGCAGTGGCTTCTCTTGTTGCGGAGCATGGACTCTAGGTGCATGGGCTTCAGTAGTTGTGGCTCACGGACTCTAGAGTGCAGGCTCAGTAGTTGTGGTGCACGCAGGCCCAGTTGCTCCTCAGCACGTGGGATCTTCTTGAACCAGGGCTCAAACCTGTGTCCCCTGCTTTGGCAGGCGGATTCTTAACCACTGAACCACCAGGGAAGCCTAGTACATACAGTTTTAATTTACTATTTTTAATGTCTTGAAAATATTCCAAAGAAGAAGTATACCATAATTTGTTTACTCTTTCTTTAATAAAAATTTAGTTTCTAGTTTCACTATAATAAATGATGTCTTTGTACATATAATTATAAATAATACCCTTGTATTATAAATAAGATACATGTATGAATAAATAATATCCTTGTATTATAAATAAGATCCTTGTGTGCACTGGTATTTAACTGCTCAATTTTTCTTGCTTTCTCTTAGTCAGAGAACACATTATATTTTTAACATCTCTTATGGGAATTATTATTTGATTTATAGGGAAATTAATTTTATCACTGGATAAAGACACTTATGAAGAAACTGGACTTCAAGGTCGTCCATCTCAGTATTCTGGCAGGAAAACCATGAAATTTAGTAAGTATTACGCTCACTCCATCAGTTTCTAACAAGGTAGTAGTCTTCCTGTAACAATTTGAATTTAAATGTTTGAATTGCCTCTGTTCTCTTTGTTCAGAAGAAGTGTGGCTTTTTCTTGTCTTTAAAACTCCTTACTCCAGGGCCTCTCGGGTGGGCATCAGATAGGATGAGATAGATACTGCTGTGCACTGTTTGTCTTCAGCTGTTGGCTGCATCTTGAAAAGATCACAGACTTGGACACGTTCCATGAGATACATATGTTTTGGGTCACAAATTCAAAGTGATGAACCCACTTGTTCTTTTTTTTTTAAATTGAAGTCTAGTTGATTTACAATGTTGTGTTAATTTCTGCTGTACAGCAAAGTGACTCAGTTATACATATATATATACATTCTTTTCCATATTCTTTTCCATTATGGTTTATCACAGGGTATTGAATATAGTTCCCTGTGTTCTACACTAGGACCTTGTTGTTTAACCAGTCTATATATACCAGTTGGCATCTGTTCCAACTTGTTCTTAGTAAAGAATTTCCTTTAATTTTCCCAAGTTTTATGACCAGTAGAAATTCACCCACGAGTAAAGAGATGTAGTTCTGTTGACGGTCTGGCTTGAACATCAGTATTTGCGGCTGCCACCTCCACAGCTAGGTTAGAGTTGATCTCTGCCCTTGGTCTTCGACTACGGAAAATGTGAATTTAAAACACCTGTTGTGGGACTTCCCTGGTGGCGCAGTGGTTAAGAATCTGCCTGCCAGTGCAGGGGACACGGGCTTGAGCCCTGGTCCGGGAAGATCCCACATGCCACGGAGCAACTAAGCCCATGTGCCACAACTACTGAGCCTGTGCACTAGAGCCCGTGAGCCACAACTACTGAGCCCACACGCCTAGAGCCCGTGCACCACAACGAAGAGTAGCCGCCGCTCACCGCAACTAGAAAAAGCCCACGCGCAGCAACAAAGACCCAATGCAGCCAAAAATAAATAAAAATAAAAATAAATAAATTTTAAAAATAAATAAAACACCTGTTGTAATTATCTCTCAGTGCCAGAAATGTCCATCAAAGGCAGAGTTTTGGTTTGGTAACCCAAAGGGAGGGCAAGAAATACAAAGTAACTTTTTCTATCCATAAAACTTGTAAAACTCCTGATATTTTAATCTAGCATGTTTTGCACAGTGCAAGCTGTGTGTATATGAGTGAACTGTTTATTCCTCTCCATTTTTTTAAGTTGTTTCCGTTGATTTGATGGATTTATCCTCTAAACTGGACTCTAAGAAGTATAAAAGAATATCTTGGGCTTTCAAAGAAAAGAAACCGTTGAAATTTGATTTCCTTTTGGCGTGGCATCAAACAGGTATGAAAAATAAAATGTGTAACGATGGAGTGGTTTTGAAATCGAATGGTTAATTAAAGGGGAGTAGTGAGGAGAGAATGGTGATTCATCCCAGTGGTCAGGGATGTTGTGTACGTAGATGGATACAGGTGTCCCCCACTTTTCGAAAGTTCACTCTATGCTCCTTTACTTTTACAAAAGCAAAAAGTGAAAATAGTGTTCAGCGTGTGTTTTGCAGTGAGCTGCTACAGAGGCAGTGTGCACCCCAGCAGCGAGAGTGACACCCCCAGCTCCCTCCCCCAGAACTGCACTCAGCATCTTAGCCTCTAGCCGGCAGAGCTTTGAACTGTCTTTGAGCGTTTATTTCATGCATCTGTTAGCAAGATGTGTCTTAAGGTAATTGCTTGTTCACTTTATGCCATTTCGACTTAATGAAAGATTTTGTAGGAACACTACTTTGGGATGGGGGGAAACCTGTAAACGTTGTTAAGGAAACTGCTTTGACCCCTCTAGCATCCCTGAGAGCCATAGTCCAGGATCATCTCGGCATGCAGCCGTCCGTCTCCACCTCCTTGGGTTGTGTGTCCATCAGGAGCTTCTGAGGGTGGGGTCTCAGGGCAACTAACCTTTGTCCATTTCTCCCTTTCCCTCCTCCAGCTTCCCTCCAACAGCCTTGGCTGGAGTGTTTTAAAATAACACCAGTTATACTGATAGACACAAACTGCTTATTTGTTATTGCAGGGTAGTAATCAGGCATATCATTAAATGTCAGATTAAATTTGTTGTACCTTTTAATTGATTAGAATAATACATTTAGTTCAGAGTTTCATGTTCACCAGACATTTTAATCAGCTTACAACTGCCATGTACCTCTGCTCCTTTTAGAAGTGTATCTTTGGCTCAAAACAAGATTAAATGAATCAAATCATCACAATTACAGTGTGTAGTTCTCTCTTGGAGAAGAGGGAAGCCCCTAGGTCCACTTTGGAAATAGGTCCATCTCTGCTCCTCCTGGAAAGTTCGTGGTCACTGGGTGCTACAGGGTTGCCTGGGTGAGACCTAGGTCTGTAATACTTGGCTGCTGCTTCTGTGTGTGGGGCAGACACAGAGGGCAGAGAGGCTGACGTCTCAGTTGTAGGAAGTCTTTACCGAGGGCCTCCTATGTAGTGGCTTCTGGAGACCACTGTGTTCCCAAGACTCCGAAGTATTTTAAGGGCTTGTCAAGACCTGTGAAACACCTGAGATTTTACCCTCCTAGCAAGCTAAGAAGTTAGCCAGCACATTCTTGTGCGCTCTGGCAGGAGACACAAGACCCCTGGGTCAGAGACAGAAAACCCAATTATTCCCAGCAGTAGCAGTGGCCAGAGCATCAGCTTTTGCTCCAGTTCACCAAGTCCTCGTTCCTGCAGGGTGATGCATGGTGGGCAGGTGATGCTGGTGCAAGCATGGGTTTGCATTACAGGAGGGGAACCTGGAGCCTAAGGTTTTATAATGGGCAGTGAGCCTGCTGACCTTTGCCCTGGAGGGAGGGAGGAGGTGGAGGGAGACATTATTTCTAATACACTGGGCAGTAAGCAGTCCTGCCCTCTGCTCCAAGAGGGCCGCTATTTCCGTCTTCCAGGGAAAATCCTTCAGGATACACTGGATCTTACTGGGGTTTAAAGACAAGCTGGACTGAGATTCTGTCTTCAGCTCCTCTTCTGTTTCCTTCTTCGAGAGTGTGCAAATATGCTGCTTTCTCTGTAGAGTTCACTAATTTTATCTAAACATAAGTAATGCTTTAGGTTTTATTTATTAAGTCAAAAGTTTCTTAGTAGAGCAGATGTTGAGACTAGTATGGCTTGAATCTGAAAGCCTTATGATTTTCCAGAAAAAATGTGACAGAAGATGAATGTTGACAGAACTTTGGCACAAGGAGGCGAAGGCAACTTAAATGATTTTAATTTGAGTAAAGCTTTGTACAACCTCCTCTGGCCTTACTTCATCCTGCCTGCTTCCTGAAACCCTCAAGTGGGAATGGGGTGGATTCAGGGATTCACTGAACTTGTTTACACTATTCAAGTGGCCTTATTTGGTGTGTTTGAAGGTGCGGAAGGATCAACGATGATGTCATACTTTTCCAATTACCGGATTCAGGAGCGTCAGCCAAAAATAGCGCTGAGCACGGTGACAGATCTGCCGTGCCCCGTGCTGCGGAGCGGCGAGCTCAGGGGCGAGCCGGAGGCGTCCTGCAGCGCCCAGGAGCTCTTCGAGTGGCTGGGCGCCGTCTTCAGTAACGCCGAGCTGTGCGTATGAGGGCTCCCGGGTCCTGGAGGGCTTGGGCTGGCTTCTCGTTTTCAACAGGGGTTTAGTACTTTGAAAGTGATCGTGTAGTGGATATAAATGCGTTCTCTTTCTCTTTTTTGGTTACAGAAATAATGAGCCTGATAATTTCATATCAACCTACTGCTGTCCTCAGCCAAGCACAGTGGTGGCGAAAGCTTACTTGTGTACAATCACTGGTTTCATCCTTCCAGAGAAGATACGTCTTCTGTTGGAGCAGCTGTGGTGAGAAAAAAGAACAGCCTTTTTTGCCATTTATGTCTTGCTTGTCTCCGCCTCTGTAGCGTTTTAGGGGCAGCGCTCATGATCCAGATTCCAGGGTCCTCTCACAACGTGTCCCCCTTTTCCCTTGCTTGGGCTCACGTGCAGTAATGTTATCATCTTGCGTGATGTAATTATCCTGGTGATGTTGCCAGGTCCTTGTCCTTTTAAAAGAAGAGAGCAGAGCTTTACTGTGCTCCTCGAGAACAAACTGTTCATTTTTCTTGTTCCGCTCCCCCAGACCATTTTGCAGTTGAAGTTACGGTATCACTTAAGAAAACGGCAGTACTCTATGGAACACATTATGATCTGTCTTAAATACTGGATTTCTGCAAAATGCTTCACTTTGAAATGGGTGGGAAAAGGAGCTGACAACCTCTGAATCCAAATCACATCCAAACTCTGCCCTGGCTCTAACATCCGTGAATCACTGGGCACCGGTAACATGCCACGGGTTGTATAAAGTAGTACTGGATTTTCACTGTGGGAGGTGTTCTGTAAATAAACTGTGAGGAGGCTCAAATCCTGTGTTGAATGAAGTGAGCATCACGCCTTCTGGGTCTTCACTTGAAAATGTCTAAGATTTAAGTGTTGAGGGTTTTCCTTTTTAAATCCAACATCCTCTTTCACATTTATTAGCTTCGTACTTTTATTTTCCTCAGTGAGAAGGTTGAAGTTTTAACAATTTGATGGATTTTAAAAAAGAAATTCGATAAATTATTCTGCAGTGTTTCAGTTTACAGAGCCTCCGAAAGCAGCACTGTTCAAGGGAGGGAAACGATTCTTACACACTTCCTGGGGAATTTTTTGTTCTTTAAATCTTATATGCTCTTAGGAACCGCTGAAGTTTGTTGTGTGCACTGCATGTTGGTGAACCTTTACTGAATTCACAGTATAGCACCAGGAATTTAATTTCTGTCTCCTAATTTTTATAAATGAAAGCTAAGGTCAAAGCTTCATGGGAGCATCAGAAATACCACTTGTGCTGAATAAGTAAAAAAGATAAATGGGACCGTTCCTAACTCTTCCTGTTTGTTAAGAAGTGTCTGTCTCTTTCAGTCGCTACTTTGATGAACCGAAGTTGGCCCCGTGGGTGGCGTTGTCGGTTCAAGGCTTTGCAGACAGCCCTGTCTCCTGGAGAGAAAACGAACACGGTTTTCGAACAGGAGGAGAACATTTGTACAACTTTGTGGTTTTCAGTAATCGGGACTACTGGCTCCACTTGGCTGTGGGGGCAGGTGATGACTGCCCACCATGACAAGCACAGAGCTCAGAGCCGTGTTGTGTTTGCACTCGTGTTCCGTACCTCTCGGCAGTATAAGGACTGTGTGTTCACTCAGACTTGGCCGATGATGACATTTCTCAGCCCAGCATCTGTTAGCATCTGCTCTGGACTCGGGCCCATCCTGTGACAGGCTTGCCGTCAGGTGGAAGCTCATAGCTGATTTCTCCCTGTCAGTATGAGCCCAGGGTGTGGGCTACCGCGTCGTAACTTGGGCCACGATGGCCAGGGACCGAGGGTTATGGGACCACTGGGTAAGATGTGTGCTGTGACTGTGAGTTTTTCACACCATAACAACAAGAAATCCTTAACATCATAACTTACCAGAGCCAGTTCCTGCATTACTGCTGTTCATCTATTACCTCATGTCATTCTCACATCAGTCCTGTGAGGGAACAGAGTGTACATAAGCTACTGAAGTCGCATGCTTGTGGATTCAAGACTTGATCTCAGATCAGCTGGTTCCTGACTGTGTGCTGAGTGTGTGCTCACTCTCCTGCTTCTGGGTCAGGAGGGATATTTGGATACTGTATATTCATAAAGAACAAGTTGAATTTTTCAGTAACCTATAAGGGAAAAGAATCTGAAAAACATATATATGTGTGCGTGTGTGTATATATGTAAAACCGAATCACTGGGGCTTCCCCGGTGGCACAAGTGGTTGAGAATCCGCCTGCCAATGCAGAGGACAGGGGTTCGATCCCTGGTCTGGGAAGATCCCACATGCCACAGAGCAACTAAGCCCGTGCGCCACAACTACTGAGCCTGTGCTCTAGAGCCCGTGAGCCGCAACTACTGAGCCCGTGTGCCGCAACTACTGAAGCCCACGCGCCTAGAGCCCGTGCTCCACAATGAGGGAAGCCACTGCAACGAGAGGCCTGCGCACCGCAACAAAGAGTAGCCCCCGCCCGCCACAACTAGAGAAAGCCCGCACACAGCAACGAAGACCCAACACAGCCAAAAATAAATAAATAAAATAAATTAAAAAAAAAAACCGAATCACTGTGCTGTACACCTGAAACTGACATGACATCATAAATCACCTATACTTCAAATAAAAAAAAAAGTGACTTGCCTGGCGGTATAGTCGTTAGAACTCGTGCTTCCACTGCAGAGGGGCGTGGGTTCAGTCCCTGGTTGGGGAGCTAAGATCCCACATGCCACACAGCGTGGCCAAAGAATAAAAGTAAAAAACAAAGTTGAAAGAATTTTTTTTCTCCCAGCAATATGGCTGATAAGGACCCACTGAAAACTACTTAAATTTCTGGGATACCTATCAAGAACCATTTTTAAAAATGTTTCAATGAGCTGCAGAATAAGAATTCTCAAAAGCTAAATAATTTATTGGGCCACATGGAATTAAATTAGAAATCAGTAACAGAAAGATCCTTGAAAATCCCCAAGTATTTGGAAACAAAATAACTCACAAGTCAAAGAACAAATCTAAAGAGAAATTAGAAAGTAATTTGAAATGACTTTTTAAAAAAAACTGGAATTTGTGGGTTCTTGCCAAAGCAGTACTTAGCGGGAAACTTGGAGCTTTTAAATGCCTGTAGTAGAAAGGAGAACAGGTCTCAAATCAGTGACCGCAGTTTCCACTTTAGGAAACAGTAAAAGAAGAGCAAACTAAATCCAAAGTCAGCAGAAGAAAAGGAATAATAAAGATCAAAGTGGTAACCACTGAAATAAAATAGAGAAAAATTAATCCAAAAGCTTGTTCTTTGGGAGAATCAATAAAGTTGATAAATCTCCAGCCAGATTGGTGAGGGAAAAAAAAAGAGACCAATTACCAATACAAGGAATGGGAGAGGTAACATGACTGAAGATCCCACAGATGTTAAAATAATAGGAACACCTTTATACCAATAAATTCAAGAACGCCGGTGAAATTGACAAATTCCTTGAAAGACACAAATGACCAGAGCTCACTCAAGAAGAAACAGGTGAAACCTTCCTCTAACCCCAATGCGATGGCTTCAGTGGTGAGTTTTACCAAACATTTGAAGAAATAATACCAGTTCTAAACAAATACTGCCACTCATTCTATGGGGTCAGCGTTACCCTGGTAGCAAAATTACCGAGGCATCCTGGCTGGGCAAACACATTGCTAGGAAAGAAAACACTACAAAGCAAACGTTCCTCATGAACACAGGTGCAAAAACTAAGCAAAAGTTGTAGTAAATTGAAACCTATGATATAATAAAAAGGTAATATGGCCATGGGATTTATCCTGGGAATGCAGGGTTGATTTAACATTCACATAATCATTTCAATCTATACTAGAAACATATTTGACAAAATCCACCGTCTAGTCCTGTTAAAAACTCTGGCAAACTGGGAATAAAGGGGACTTCCCCAATCTGATTAAAAGACATCTGCAAAAGCCCTACAGCTAACGTCAGACTTAATTGTGAAGGGCTGAATACTTTTCCCCTAACATCAGGAAGAAATCAGGGATGTCTAGAATCTGGAGATTCTAGACTGCAGTCAGGCAAGAAACAGAACATCCAGATTGGAAAGAAAAAAAAAAAATTGTCCTTTTTTCACAGATGACATGATCATCTATGTAGAAAATTCAGTGGAATCTATAAACAAGATATTAGAACTAATAAGTGAGTTTATCAAGATTGCAGGATACAAAGCAGTGTACAAAAATCAATTATATTTCTATATATGAACAATTAGAAAGAAATTAAAAATCATTTACAATAGCATAAAAATACTAGGTGGTTAGGAATAAATGACAAAAAATGTGAAAGACATGTACACTGAAAACTGTTAAATATTGCTATGATCAATTAAAGAAGACCTAAATAACTTGGGGTATATACTTTGTTCACGGGTCAGAAGACTCAGTATTGTCAAGATGTCATTCCAGGGCTTCCCCGGTGGTGCAGGGGTTAAGAATCTGCCTGCCAATGCAGGGGACACGGGTTCGAGCTCTGGTTCAGGAAGATCCCATGTGCCTCAGAGCAGCTAAGCCCATGCACCACAACTACTGAGCCTGTGCTCTAGAGCTCATGAGCCACAACTAATGAGCCCGTGTGCCACAACTACTGAAGCCCACGCACCTAGAGCCCATGCCCTGCAACAAGAGAAGCCATCGCGATGAGAAGCCCGCACACCACAACTAGAGAAAGCCTGCACGCAGCAGCAAAGACCCAACACAGCCAAAAATAAAAGTCAAATAAAATAAATAAATTTATAAAAAAAGAAAAAAAGATGTCATTCCAAAATACAGATTCAGTGTAGATTCAGTATGGTCCCAGCAGGCTACTTTCTGTGCGTGTACATAAATTGACAAGCTGATTCTAAAATTTCTGTAGAACTGCAAAGGACCTAGAGTAGCCTCCAGGGCTGTCTTGGAACTTGACAACACAGCACCAAAAGCCTCCAGCCGTCCCACTCTTTCTCCCTCAGCATGATGTAAACCCAGCCCAAGTAGGAAGTCGGGAGGTGTTTTTCAGTGTGTCCCCCTTGTGATCTGTAAGGGTGCCTGCCAACTGCGAGGAAGTTTTGTAATAAGGGACTTAATTGAGGAGGTGCCAGTTGACGTTGGAAATAAGATTTATTGCTGTTAACCCTTTGGAGTAATCCGGGGTTGACTAGTTTTCTTTTTTCAAACTATATCTGCTGGTTAATACCATGTTCAACCATTTTCCATATAAAATTTAAAAATAAAAATTTGGTATACAAGAGGGGTTGTATAAGACTGAGTTGAGGAACTTATGTGAATAGGAAAACAGACTTGTAGATCTTTAGGGAACAAGCGTCAAGAGGTTTCTGGAAAAAAAGAAAGACCTACAAATTACCAAGGCAGTTTTCTTAAGTTTGAAGCGGGGGAAACAGTAACACAGCAACCGACCAAAAAAGCTGCCAGAACCCTCCCTTTTAAGGAGCTAAGATTGTGCTCAAATTCTTTTTGTCTAATTTACTGGGTCTTGGGGACCAGAAAGACCACTGCAAGCATATTCTTCAGAATCCAGATTAGGGGAAAAGTTTTATTCCTTGGGTGCAAAGTTACTGCTATATTCATCTTAATAAATCAAACTAAATGACTTGGCAGGAAGCCAAGTGTGACCCACACATTTCTAAAGAAATGACCAAAGATTGAAGATGATGATTTTCATCTCTTGTAATTGAAGAAATATTTGTCTTGTTTTCCTGTTGCCTAAGGTTGGAGATTTTTTCCTCCTTCTGGTATGTTGCCTCGAAACCCATGTGCCATTTTCACCACAAAGCTCCCTGGATTCTCCAGAGACAGAAGTAATAGGATACACACACACACACACACACACACACACACACACACACACACACAGTATTTATATCAATATGAAATATATGAATACATAGTCATATAAAGTATCTTATATAATATAAATATTTGCATATTATATATAATGAAGATAATTATGTATATTATATATAATATATTGTATATATATATATTAATATATATTGTAAATACAGATCTTCCTTGACTTATGATAGTGTTACATCCTGATAAACCCATTACAATTTGAAATTATTTTAAGTCAAAAATGCATTTAATACACCTAACCTGCCAAACATCATAGCTTAGCCTAGCCTACCTAAAACATGCTCAGGACACTGACATTAGCCTACAGTCAGGCAAAATTATCTAACACAAAGCCTATTGTATAATACAGTGTTGAATATCTCATGTAATTTATTAAATACTGTACTGAAAGTGAAACAAGAGTGTCTGGGTAGAGAATGGTTGTCAGTGTATCAGTTGTTCATCCTGGTGGTGGCGTGGCTGCCCGGGAGCAGCCCAGCATCACAAGAGAATATCTTACTGTGTGCACATCACTAGCCCTGGAAAAGATCAAGGTTTCTACTGAATGTGTATCACTTTAACACCATCGTAAAGTTGAAAAATCCTAAGTGGAACCCCGGGGGAACCATCTGCATTTATCACGATGAATTGGCTCATGCAATGGTGGAGAAGT